CCTCCTCAACAGTTGCACAAAGAATACAGGATGTTTATAACATGGAGTATACAACGGCATTATTACAACTGAAAGCAGAGGTCTTCAATTGTCCAACATATTCACTGGATATGACTATTATGCAGACTATATTTTTCTTACTCTTATTTCATTTGTTTTTCATTTTTCTATCAATGGTCATATGTATTGTAAAAAAAATTCTGTACTATCTACCAAATGTATATGTGGTACTGCAGAGATAACCTCTGTGCTGTTCTATAGACTTACCCATGACACTTTACTGCACCATCATTATTGGAAATGTTTATGACTGCACTTGATAATACGAAATAAAAGAAAGGTTAAAAAAAAGGGTCAGAGTGATCACTAAATGCAGAAAGATTGAACTTTGTTGAGTCGTCAGTCTTCAACGACGCACAGCTATTGGACCTGGGGATGTGCCTCTGTCTTCATCTCGCTCCTGCTCATAATGACAAAACAAAACAAGAACACAATGTTTGTCATTCAATCTGCTGTTCTCAGCACTGGCTTGATGCAGTGCAAATCACTCTTGTTTGTGCCCACGCTGAAAAAATATTGAGGACAAATTGTGGTTTCACTTTATTTTGATTGTCGCTTTGTTTGTAGGGATGTTTGTATGTTGGTATGTTTTATCTTACCTCAAGGGCATCCAAGATGTCTTTGTTTCCACAGTATTTTCAATTTTGATATTTTTAGGTCAAACCGTTCTTGTCTGTCAGTCATATAATGGAGGTTTATGGTCACCACCTCAAAGAGCATGCACAGAGAAGTCCAAATTAAACATGATTTAATGACTCGTAAATGTAAGTACACACTGACGGCATAAGACACGAAACGAGCGGTTTGTGTGAGAAAACGAACAGTATTTATATCGTTTTTACCTCTTGTAACCACAGCCACGTCCAAGTGATCTGAGGGCACGGGCGCTTCGGTCTGCGCAAGCACCGGAAGTGATCTCTTGCGCGGTTGTGTTGTCTGTTGATATATCGAAATCGTATTCCAAGGATAACATCTCTGTGTAAACAATGAGTGACGTACAGACGCGAGAGATCACTTCCGGGGCGATGTGATTGTGATTTACAAGAGGTAAAAACTATATAAATACTGTTCGTTTTCTAACACAAACCGCTCGTTTCGTGTCTTAGGCCATCAATGCGTGCTTACATTTACGAGTCATTAAATCATGTTTAATTTGGACTTCTCTGTGCATGCTCTTTGAGGTGGTGACCATAAACCTCCATTATATGACTGACAGACAAGAACGGTTTGACCTAAAAATATCAAAATTGAAAATACTGTGGAAACAAAGACACCTACATATGCCCTTGAGGTAATATAAAACATATAAAAAATTTACATTTATTTTATTTAGGATTAGCGCCTTGAGATGAACCATCTCGTTTTCGAGGGGGTCCTCGAATCTAGATACAAAAAAATGGCCTTACAATAGCTGTCGAAAATAAATCATAACAAAAAACCCCTAAAAAAAACATACTTTACAATAATGGTACATACAGCAATATATAAATGTATTTAAGTGTACTTGAACACAATTTCTGTTGAGTAGAAGTAACTTGCACCTACATTTCAACAAGTATTAGTAGACTGGTAGAGTTATGGTTAGAATAAGTTGACATGTATAATAGTTGCAAAGTTTCTGATAGTCAGAATGTCTGTATGAGGAAAGATAATAAAGGGTTAGCAGATATTAAGCAGACAGTCTATTAATACTCTAATGAGAGTAGCATGAAGTTGCAAAGATACTTACTACAGAATGTTCAATAGGGACCATCAATATAAAGTGTTACCAAAATTGACCTTGTTTTATGTTAGTCTACTAGTTTCTAAAGTCAAATCAAGCTTGAATCTTCTACCCTCAAAAGACAATGCTAAGACGACAAACTTGAAAAACTAGTCTGTAACAAGGTTCAGGGAAGAAGGAGGCAGGAACCGGATAATAATGAAAAATAAAACTTTATTTAAACAAAATAAACAAACAAAATACCTGCCAGCAGCCCCTCACGGACGACTGCTGGCTACCGAAAATAAAATATAAAATACCGGCCAGCAGCCCCTCGCGGACGACTGCTGGCTTACCAAATAAAATATAAAACACAAACAAAAGCAGGCCTGTTCCTCTCTCCATCATCCACTCCGTCGCTCCCCCTTTATGGCTCCGCTCCTTCGTGAGAGATGCGAGACCGGTGTGCTTCACAGGTGCTGCTCATTAGCAATCGCACCACCGGCCTCGCGACTTTCTCTCACGTCCCTCGGCCGTCCTGCTCACCACATAGTCATTCTCGTTATATTGTGTAACAAAAACGGTAAACAGAATCTACAAAATTTCATTATATAAAGAAACGTACAATATGGCCTTCTGTCCATAAATGTTAACACATTTAAACAAAAGTATATTTCACCAATCTGAGGAAATTTAAAGGGTGTATTCACACCAAGAAAGTCCGATAGTTCACTTGCTTTGGTCCGGACCAAATACAATATTAATTTTTGTTTGTTTGGTACTGTTTGCTTTTACGCTGCTCTTTTTGGATGAGTTGGATGTATGAAATCAGTAAAAGAAGAAATATTGCATGTTGAGATATCTGCATGAATATTTTCCCTGTTTGAGAATCCTGAACGACTTTAGCACAGGTGTGGTTCTGTTTACAAATGTTGGTTCACCTGCAAAAAAGAGCAGTGTAAATGCGAACCGTACCAAACAAATAAAAATCAACATTGTATTTGGCCCAAAAGCAAGTGAACAATCAGTGTGAATACACCCTAAAGTACATCCCTATCCATTGACGTTTCCAGTTTAGGTTCCCTTGGAAAGTTTGAATAATAATAATTAAAAAAAAAATAATAATAATACAAAACATCAGTCTTGAAATTCCCTTTGAAAGCTGAAAGTGACAGTCCATTTTTAAATGACTAAACACGTAAAATTAATTTCTAAACCTACCGCACAATACGGACGTGTAGATTCTTGTTGTTGAAAGCACTCAAATGGCATCTCTGTTTTCTTGTTTTTACTTTCATTTACTTACATAGGGATCAAGTTACTTACTCCAGAAACCCGAAAACATGAATAATTAATTTGTCAGCTTTAAGACTACCCTTGTGAAAAAAAGTGCACTGCACTTATATAAAGTGTACTTATTACACAAATAATATACTTTAAAGGTATACACTTAAGTGTGAATTAAATGCAATTTTTTCGCCACACTGAATGCACATTAAGTGTAATTGATTTCAAATATATCATATATTAAGTTCAAATAAAATGCAATAAGTTGTCATTGAGAGTGATTTTTTGGTACCACTTAAGTGGGACTTTAATACAACTTTCATAATTGCTTTTAGTCTATTTAAAATGTATTTAAAGTGCACTGCTCAATGCACTGACAAGCAATTAATGTAAACTAAAATGTACTTTAATGTCACTTAATACACTTAAATGTGAATTAAGTGTAATGTTTTCGACAAACTTAATGCATATTATATGTAATTGATTTCAAATGTAGCACAGATTAAGCTCAAATTAAATGCTATTAGTTGATATTAAGAGTGATTTTTTTTTAAATATGTGTACTGCTAAATATACTGACAAGCAATTAATGTCAACTAAAATATACTTTAATGTAATATACATGTATATTATTTAATATACATTGTTTTTAGCTTATTGTCCACCCTATTATTTTTGACTATTTTCCTTTAAATGAAATTTGGACAAATAAATGTAGTTTTAAAGACCATTCTTTATAGATAAATCTCCTGCTGGCTTGTTTTTGCTCATTGGCTGATTGTATGTCCGAATGTTCCATGTTATATCTGAGGCGCAAACAGAGAGGACACTGAGAGTGAACATAGTGATTGTCAAAGTAATGTTCAAAAGGTATATAGCGGCCTCTATCAGGCATGTTTCAGATTGCAACCAATTTTTACAAGAGCAGACACTCCTCGTACACGGCCACACTGAGACTTTACACACACCGCAGCATGTGGAGCAAAGCATCACTCAATATGCTGGAAACTCATGTAAACTCCCACTGCAACGCTACAATTATAGATACTTTTATCAGCTTGACTGAACTAATGCTCCATGCTCGTCATGATAACGTTACATTTGTAGTGTTATCTAGCATAAGGCATTTCACTAACTATTCATGTATCTTTCACAATCAGCAATGTCAACAGAGGTGAATGTATATTATGATAACGAAAACGGTTAGTGAACTAGACTGAACAATTTCAGTGTAACAGTAAGATCATAGGGAGTAACATTACTGTACTGAATGTGTCTGGAAATGTGTATTAGACAATATGGTAGTAGTGGGATGAGTGACGTTAGACAGTAGATCTAGTAGCCTACATAAAATAAAAGTTACATCCTAAAGCACCGGCTTTTTGTTATGCTGGAACAGTCTTTTCATTCATGTCAAGTCTCATGTATGTTGTAGTTTACCTTGCTATTTCATTAGTTTACCATTATTTATTTCAGCATGTCTGAAAACTTGTAATTTATCACAATAAAAATAGCGGAGGTCTCTCCATAATTCAAACGCTCTGAACTGTGTTTTCGTCGATTCGATTCACGTTTGGTCTGACGAGCTTCAGCAGATACATATTTTTATATATATATATATATATATATATATATATATATGTGGAGTTTGTGTTGGAGTGTGTTGCAGTGCTGTCTCATAGACTGTATATATATATATATATATATATATATATATATATATATAAAACGGGGTATGGGAGCACTGGGGCACGGGAACACTGGGGCACGGGAGCACTGGGGCACGGGAACACTGGGGCACGGGAGCACGGGAACACTGGGGTACGGGAACACTGAGGCACGGGAGCACTGGGGCACGGGAACACTGGGGCACGGGAACACTGGGGTATGGGAACACTGAGGCACGGGAACACTGGGGCACGGGAGCACTGGGGCGCGGGAACACTGGGGTATGGGAACACTGGGGCACGGGAACACTGGGGCACGGGAGCACTGGGGCGCGGGAGCACTGGGGCGCGGGAACACTGGGGCACGGGAACACTGGGGCACGGGAACACTGGGGCACGGGAGCACTGGGGCACGGGAACACTGGGGTATGGGAACACTGGGGCACGGGAACACTGGGGCACGGGAGCACTGGGGCACGGGAACACTGGGGTATGGGAACACTGGGGCACGGGAACACTGGGGCACGGGAACACTGGGGCACGGGAGCACTGGGGCACGGGAACACTGGGGTATGGGAACACTGGGGCACGGGAACACTGGGGCACGGGAGCACTGGGGCACGGGAACACTGGGGTATGGGAACACTGGGGCACGGGAACACTGGGGCACGGGAGCACTGGGGCGCGGGAACACTGGGGTATGGGAACACTGGGGCACGGGAACACTGGGGCACGGGAGCACTGGGGCGCGGGAGCACTGGGGCGCGGGAACACTGGGGCACGGGAACACTGGGGCACGGGAACACTGGGGCACGGGAGCACTGGGGCACGGGAACACTGGGGCACGGGAACACTGGGGCACGGGAACACTGAGGCACGGGAACACTGGGGCACGGGAACACTGGGGCACGGGAGCACTGGGGCACGGGAACACTGGGGCACGGGAACACTGGGGCGCGGGAGCACTGGGGCGCGGGAACACTGGGGCACGGGAACACTGGGGCACGGGAGCACTGGGGCACGGGAGCACTGGGGCACGGGAGCACTGGGGCGCGGGAACACTGGGGCACGGGAACACTGGGGTATGGGAACACTGGGGCATGGGAACACTGGGGCACGGGAACACTGGGGTATGGGAACACTGGGTATGGGAACACTGGGGCACGGGAACACTGGGGTATGGGAACACTGGGGCACTGGGGCACGGGAGCACTGGGGCACGGGAGCACTGGGGTATGGGAACACTGGGGCACGGGAACACTGGGGCGCGGGAACACTGGGGCGCGGGAGCACTGGGGCGCGGGAACACTGGGGCACGGGAACACTGGGGCACGGGAACACTGGGGCACGGGAGCACTGGGGCACGGGAACACTGGGGCACGGGAGCACTGGGGCACGGGAGCACTGGGGTATGGGAACACTGGGGCACGGGAACACTGGGGCACGGGAACACTGGGGCGCGGGAGCACTGGGGCGCGGGAACACTGGGGCACGGGAGCACTGGGGCACGGGAGCACTGGGGCACGGGAACACTGGGGCACGGGAACACTGGGGCACGGGAACACTGGGGCACGGGAACACTGGGGCACGGGAACACTGGGGCACGGAAGCACTGGGGCACGGGAGCACTGGGGCACGGGAACACTGGGGCACGGGAGCACTGGGGCACGGGAGCACTGGGGCACGGGAGCACTGGGGCACGGGAACACTGGGGCGCGGGAGCACTGGGGCGCGGGAACACTGGGGCACGGGAACACTGGGGCACGGGAGCACTGGGGCACGGGAGCACTGGGGCACGGGAACACTGGGGCACGGGAACACTGGGGTATGGGAACACTGGGGCACGGGAACACTGGGGTATGGGAACACTGGGGTATGGAACACTGGGGCACGGGAACACTGGGGCGCGGGAGCACTGGGGCGCGGGAACACTGGGGCACGGGAACACTGGGGCACGGGAACACTGGGGCACGGGAGCACTGGGGCACGGGAACACTGGGGCACGGGAACACTGGGGTATGGGAACACTGGGGCATGGGAACACTGGGGCACGGGAACACTGGGGCACGGGAACACTGAGGCACGGGAACACTGGGGTACGGGAGCACTGGGCACGGGAGCACTGGGGCACGGGAGCACTGGGGCACGGGAGCACTGGGGTATGGGAACACTGGGGTATGGGAACACTGGGGCACGGGAACACTGGGGCACGGGAGCACTGGGGCACGGGAGCACTGGGGCACGGGAACACTGGGGCACGGGAACACTGGGGCACGGGAGCACTGGGGCACGGGAGCACTGAGGCACGGGAGCACTGGGGCACGGGAACACTGGGGCACGGGACACTGGGGCACGGGAACACTGGGCGCGGGAGCACTGGGCGCGGGAACACTGGGGCACGGGAACACTGGGGCATGGGAACACTGGGGCATGGGAACACTGGGGCACGGGAACACTGGGGCACGGGAACACTGAGGCACGGGAACACTGGGGTATGGGAGCACTGGGGCACGGGAGCACTGGGGCACGGGAGCACTGGGGCACGGGAGCACTGGGGTATGGGAACACTGGGGTATGGAACACTGGGGCACGGAACACTGGGGTATGGGAACACTGGGGCACGGGAGCACTGGGGCACGGGAGCACTGGGGCACGGGAGCACTGGGGCACGGGAACACTGGGGCACGGGAACACTGGGGCACGGGAACACTGGGGCACGGGAACACTGGGGCACGGGAACACTGGGGCACGGGAGCACTGGGGCACGGGAACACTGGGGCACGGGAACACTGGGGCACGGGAACACTGGGGCACGGGAACACTGGGGCACGGGAGCACTGGGGCACGGGAGCACTGAGGCACGGAGCACTGGGGTATGGGAACACTGGGGCACGGGAACACTGGGGCACGAGCATGGGGCGCGGAGCACTGGGGCGCGGGAACACTGGGGCACGGGAACACTGGGGCACGGGAGCACTGGGGCACGGGAACACTGGGGCACGGGAACACTGAGGCACGGGAAACTGGGGTATGGGAACACTGGGGCATGGGAACACTGGGGCACGGGAACACTGGGGCACAGGAACACTGGAGCACGGGAAGACTGGGACACGTTAAAAATGGGGCACAAGAGCACTGGAGCACTGCAAGTCTGGGGCACGGGAACATCAGTTATTTTCCCTCCACAACACCTTAAATCCCAGTCAAGTTAAAATAAAAGCTTTTACATTTTATTCAAATTAAAGATTGTGTTTAGGTCAGGGGTCAAGCTTGTACCAATTAATCATGTTTAAGGAACTGAAGTCGTTGATACCCTGTAAAAAATTGTATCAATCATTTTTTTAAATACAAGTTTCAGAGGGTCAATTTACATTGAATGCATGCATGATCAGTGCGGTTATTAATAGACACTTCACACAATCATTCTTCTACATATCAAAACTGAAAGATCATTCTCTCGAAATAGAAACAGTTCGCCTGCATTATATATGAGCACTAATGAGATTCCACTGATCAAACTGAAGGACTCCAGCAGAACAATCCTGAAATAGATTCTCAGTGCCAAGGCCTGGAGTGAGGATGGGTGAATCTCACAGAGAAATGTCATCCAGATTAGATTCATTTATTTGCAGAATTGGCATTAGCCGTTACTTTCGATCGATTTGGACGTTCAGCATGAGTTAAATTATGTGTTTAGATGTCTATCAAAATGTAAAGCAGGGTTGTTTGAGAGATTTCAGTATCTCAATTTAAGGATCATCATGAACATCTCTGGATCATGTTTTAGTTGTCGAATGGTGGCGTGACTTACCCCGTGGGGCTCTGGGAATGAGTTCTGTCCCGACACAAACTTCTCATTCTGAAGTTTGGACAAACTACCTTTGTCATGTGACTTACCAGCATCTCTTCTTTGCCCTTCATAAATCCTCTCCCGTGGCCTCATGGGATAGTAAAGCGTCCATCGTGAACACACTTCAGAATCCTAGAAAGCCTAGTCATTTCAATGGCAAAGTGTATCCCAATCAATCTGAATTCACCCTATATCAAATTAAGAACATTAAGATGGTTTAAACATGCACATTTATCAGAAATTACTGCTCATTACAAGATTTTAAGAAAGCACAACAAATTAGTTCAGTCTTTTGAGATTTCAGATTCAACAGTCTTATAGTTTTGCAGTTGGGAGGTGTTGTCTAAAATGAGGGCTAGTCACGGTCTCTCCGAGTATGTGCTGTCACTTTTGCACCATGATGTCATTGTTTGCTAGATAAAGATGGGTTGTTTGCCCCAGTTTCCTGGATGTCCACCATCTGAAACCTGGTTTTCCGGGTTCACCAAAGGATGACTGTGGACTGGTGGGCAATCTCTCCCATTAAACACATTTGCAAGTATTTGCATTTCAACAAAACCAAACCACTTCAGTAAATGGAGAAAACGATGATCACTTTATGCTGTGCAAGTCTGAAGGTTAGTTTTAAACATCGGGAGTTGCCAGAGCGCTACTTAATACTCTTAAAAATCGGATTAGCACAGAGATGTCTCTCGAGTCTTGTTCCCTATTGACATGGTTAATAGAGTTCACAATTTAACGAAACAAAAAAATGGTGTAGGATTTACTTTGAAACAATTTGCACTCATAATTACAAAGATACGGCAAGAAACACATTGAAGAAAATGAAGAAATTAGGCAGAAAGACTGAAATAGTATGTAAAACTCTTCAATAATCTCTGTTTTGATTAAATTTGAATGATGAATTCCTTCATCATTGTATAAATATAAGCACTTTTCGCAAAACTGAAATGTGGATTAATAACAATGAAACACTAGATTTTATAAATGTATTTATTCCGTAAATAGAACTTTCATAACATCAGCAATAAACATATTCACTGTGAGGAGAGTACAATAAGAAGAACATGTGTTTACACAAAGAAAAGATGAAACTGCAACATGGATGATTGACATCACAGCTAGATCAGGTATTCCCAGGTCTAGATCGAGTCTTATTGCTAATGTCTGTGGCATTTACTGCGTTGCTATTTAATCAATGAAAACGCATTATATAGCAAAACAATTCAGCCGTTTGATTCTAACGCAAGAACTGAAACAGTTATGATCAACATTGAGATGAGAAGTGATATACAAATTAAAACTAGAGAGAAATAGTACCAAAATAGAGTAATCCACAATTGATTATGTAACCGTTCTCCATCATAAAACCTGATTCTCCAACTGCCACCCGGGTCACGGCACCAGATTTCTGGCCTTCGCAGCAAAAATAAAGACTAGACTCCTCAAAATGGGAGCGTTAATGTCGAGTTCACTTTTAGGCCTCTGTTACAGGGATATTGAGACAGACTGACCAAAGTGTAGCATGCAGTCGGATATCATAAACTTGAATATAGTTGATCTAAGCAAGTTTAAAACGGTTGTCTCGATGCTCCGGCCTCACAGTAACCCAGACTATGCCCTCTTACGTGATTAAATACACACACGCATACACACAACCAAACAGCCTTGACAAGTGGTTAGCAACACAAGCAGAAAAACAATGAACACGGCAACAATGATAAATTAACTGATGGCAATAGTTAGAAATGAACATTTAGCATGTGCAAGACAGGACAGGAGAGATGATATGCAGGCACATGACTGACGGAGGTGAACGTGGCCGAGTTCAAGGACGATATATGCGAGGTTTCCATCCCGCAACATTCATGCATCATGATAATCTGTACAGTCCAAGTACAGGTAGGCATCTTAGGGTAGGAGGCTACAGGTTTGTGAGCAACTGCGCTCACGTTTAATACCTTGAAAATCAGGCAATTAAAAGAGGGAATTATGGCTTCAAACAGACCCCCTCGTTTTCCTCAGGAAAGACGGTGGCCCTCTTCCTACAGTTTCGTGGTTTACGAGCAGAAACGTTCAAGTCAGACACATCCTTTGGTTTTTCTGCGTATCCCTTGTTGCGTATCCCGCCGCTCTGATTAACAGAGCTCTTAAAGTGAGACATCAGTGGAGGTCTGGCTGGTGATTGGACAAGGGGTCGAGGCTAGGCATCTTCAGGCTCCAGACTGGGGCTGGTGCATTAACAACGAGACACCTCCATGGGCGAGAGCGTCAGGATGCTCCGGTCATTGGAGAAGAAGGTCTCGGAGTCACTCCAAGATCTGGAAGTATCAAGGAAATTGCGAACAGTGAGGGGGACAGTGTGGATGCTTCTGTGTTCAGCACATTACCATTCAATGAGCTCGATTCACATGCTCTATATTCACAACCTGTGAGGACCTGAATATTAGAGATTAGATTCATATCAAGCTATCCCCACCCAATTCAAACAGATGTTATAAAAGTAACAGACACATCTGTCCTTTCTATCATAGATTCAATTTATTTAATTTAGAACTTAAGTATGTTACACTATTTTAAGGTGGCGTAGTTACATTGTATTAGCAATATTAAAGGGTTAGTTCACCCAAAAATGAAAATTCTGTCAGGAAATGAATAGTTGGAATAAAGTCGTTATTTTTGTTGTTTTTTGGGCACAAAATGTTTTCTCGTCACTTGATAAACTTAAGATTGAGCCACTGTAGTCACTTGGACTATTTTAATGATGTCTTTACTAACTTTTCAAGGCCAGCAAGTTTCAATCCCTCAAGAAGGCTATGGACTAGTATGGAGGAGTGATCCAGCTCTCAGATTTCATCAAAAATGTCTTAATTCGTGTTCCGAAGATGAACGAATGTCTTACGGGGTTGGAACAACATGAGGGTGAGTAAATACTGACAGAATTTTCCTTTTTGGGTGAACTAACCCTTTAATAACTACATGTACGAGTTACGTTTAAGGTTAGTTACTTGTAATTAAGCATAATTAACTATTATAATATTTTATTACTATAGTAAGTACATGTAGTAACGTGTAACTCTACGCCACCTTAAAATAAGTGTTACCCTTAAGTATATTTTACAATGCAAATGATTAAATTGTATAAATGAATATATCTACATTGCATCGTCCACCTTTTTATCTAAATATCGAGATCTGCATCAATTCTTACACAAAAAAAAATCATTTAGAAGTCTTAATATATATATATATTTTAAAATCCTTAAAGGTGGCATATGTAATAATTGAGGTAACAATATACGAAAAATGAGCTACACGCATCAAAAGAATGAGAAGAAATAAGTGCAAAGATGTCATTAAAAAACTGACAAGTTATAGTGCTGCCGAGATATTAACCTGAATTAGCATGCTAAATTACTAGCCCCGGCCCGGCAGGTATCGTAATACCAGTTCCGGCCATGGGAGGCGGTATGCGGACGGGCAACGTTAGCACCAGCCAAACTGCAATACGCGAGTGAGTCGCGCTCGTGCCGGCCGGCTTGTGTGTACTTGAACCTGATGTCAGTCGTGTGGAAATGCAGCCAATTACTACATTTCAGTTCAGGGAAGAGTTCAAAAAATGATTGGTCGACATTATGCGTGAGGAATACATTTTGGTAAGTTGTAGCACACTGTATCTTTCACCAGTGTTCGTGTTCTTTTTCAAGCTAGTAAAGACGATCGGTTCACGTGCGCTAGGGATCTGTAGTGTAACATGTACAAGCGCCAAAACGGTATTTATTCTTTGAATTGCGCAATATAATTGACAGAATCTGAGAGCTTAACTAACCTGCTTGCTAAGTGTCAATTGCGTGCGTCTCACGGTGAATTCACGGCGCTGGCTTGATCAACATCAGCGAATGCTGTCTGTCAAATTAATTCACTAACAATAAAAGTGTAATATGAACAAAACGAATACCATAAACTTCAAATAATTGCCCAAGCTTTTATTTTCCCATACCGTCGAAATGCACCAGCTTGTTTTTGAGATCTATGAGGCGGTCTTCATCATTTAGTGTTGAGATTCATAGTGTTTAGTTTAGTTCACTCTAGTGTTTAGTTCATTGAGTCTCTGATCTCTAAAAATCTCCAAATGTTCCACGTGAAACTGCGGTCTTCCAACCTTTTACTATCATGTCAAATGATTTCAATAACATGCGCGATGGTAGAAGCACAAGTCATTTTTTGGAGGTATACTGCCCCCATCTGTTATGGAATATGGAGTAGGATTTGATTTATGATGTTATATGGCACCTTTAAAAGTTAAATCAAAAATTTTAATTCTGTCATTCTTTAAGGCCAATTTATACTTCTGCGTCAAGG